TACAGACAGACATTTGGATGCATATTTATTTTATCTCCTTTTTAAAAAGCTACTATCTATGGCCAAGGATGGCTGTATAGAAAGAGGGAAGAATTTATCATATAGATGTGACCAATTACATTTGAAGCAAGAAAGCTTTGAACATCTTTCAAGAACTTAGTGCTTAATATTACTTCTTTGCTTTGTGCATTTACACTAAGGGACTTGTGGGCATAATACAGTAATCTCTTGAGAATTTTGAAACTGTCTTTGTGATCATTTAAATGCATGTGGGATGGTTCCTTGCAAGATAATTATTAGGATGCACAGCCCAGGTTGTTCCATATAAAAAATAGGGTAAGAAATATATCTCTTTTACCCTCTTCTATTTATGCCTATTTGGATCAGGAATACATGTTCCATTTCTCTTCATTGCTCTTGCTCTCTCCCTCTCCCTCCCCCCTCTCTGTGTGTGTGTGTATGAGAGAGGGAGGGAGGGAAAGGGATCACCCTAAAGCTTTCTTTTGTTTTGTTCCTGACAATGTCTGTGACAGATACTTTTCTTTTTTCCCCTGGCTATTAGAAATAGAAAGGAATGGTTCATAGTAAACGAATCCTTGAACTTAGGACCAAATCCGAAACACATGGACAGAATTAAATTTCTATAGAATTAAAGATCATCCCAAAGCTTTGTGAGAAAATCAGACAACTAGAGAAACAGAAAACACAAACATAGAGTTATGCATTTTCTCCATTTAAGGAATCCTGCCAGCAAGGGAGAAATGTGAAGTGTAATTTTGGAATGGTCACTCTTCCTTCAACCAGGGGCTAGTTTTATTAAGGCTCTCAATTTTGTTTCCATTCAGAATGTCTTTGTAAGGATGTAAAGAAACTAAATAAATGCCGTTACGCTGTTTCACAGCTTTCATAGTATCAACCACTCTGAAAGATTTCTAGGAATGACTGGAAAGCTAGCTGAAGTCTAAACACACAGAAGTTGTTACTTCTGATATCTATTCCTTAGTCAGGCATATGGAGTTCCCCAAAATCCCAGGATCTGACTCAAGCACCCCCAGCATTCTTCTCTTGCTGAGGACCAAAGCCCAAGCACTACCTGTCTGCCTAAAGGTGTTGCATACTTGCCACATACTGGAGTCCACAGGGTGACTGAATAGAAGAATTGACCTCTTGGCTTGGTTGTCAGCTTTATCACTGCTTAATATACAATGTATTAAGGGTTTTCGCTGGGTTTTCGCTCTGAAAGATGGAAATTAAAGGATACCTTCCCCCCACCTCTTACCTGAGGGCATACAACGACCAAGATGCTCTTTTAAAAAAATATGCTTGACTGTTACACTACTGTCACACAAGGAAAGACAATGCACACAATGAAAAATAATGTATGACGATGTTTCCTACAATATATATAGGAAACACACCACAGTACTAATGGGGGACTTTAATTACCCTGATAATAACTGAGAGATAAATTCTGCATCAAGTGGGAAATCGAACAGATTCCTGACCAACCTAGCTGACAACTTTGTCATCCAAAAGGTAGAAGAGGGAACAAGAGGACAGCTATACTGGACCCAATTCTTACTTACAGAGAAGAAGTGATAGAGGGGGTTGAAGTTGCCAGAATTTTGGGTGAGAGTGACGATGTCATATTGGAATTCAATATAATGCAAACACAAACAATAGAATATAATCAAACCAGTGTCTTAGGCTTTAAAAGAGCTGATTTTAACAAACTTTGAGCTTCCATGGATAAAAATTTTAAAGAGAAAAAAGTTATAACCAAAAGCAAAGTTATAAACAGAAGCCAACAGGGGTTAGTCAAAAACAGATCATGCCAAACAAATCTTATTTCATTCTTTGACAAAGTGACTACATTAGTGGACAAGTGAAATGCTGTGAACATAGTATACTTTGATTTCAATAAGGCATTTGACAAAGTAGACCACAACCTTCTTCTTAGTAAGCTAAAAAAAAATGGTCCTCTTTCTCTCACAATTTCTCATTGCTCTTGAATGGTAAAATTTGATACCCTGTGTAAGACCACAGGAGTTATATTTATTAAAGTTGGATGATGCTTCACATTGTCAGACTTAATATATCATTTTGTTAGTGTGTAAAGCTTGATTGGGTACTCACTAATCCTAGCACTAATTTGTGGAAGAGAAGAGAAGAAGCAACATAGTAGTAGCTATGGGGAAATAGTGGTACAAACAGTATACAAGTAGATGTGAAGCAGGGGTGAAATGCTCCCGGTTCGGACCGGATCACCTGATCCGGTAGCGATGGCAGCGGGTGGTTTGGAGAACCAGTAGCAAAAATCCTTGCACCCCCCCCTTTACCAGGCCGCACGATCATCAGAGACTTTTTTTTAAAGCATTTTTTCTACTTTTTCTGCCAAAAAAATGCTTTTAAAAGTAAAAAAAAAAGCCTCTGATGATCGTGCGGCTCAGCTGGGATCGCCAGAGCCTTTTCAAAGCTTTTTTAAACCACCTCTTCCGCTGAAGAGATTGCAGAAAAAAATGCTTTAAAAGTCTCTCTGACGATCCCAGCTGAGTTGCCTGCTCGGCAGAGGTTTTTCAAAGCATTTTTTTGCATTTGCAGAAAAAATGCTTTGAAAAGTTAAAAAAAAAAATTGGCCACGCCTACCCAGTCACATTACCCCCCCTCCCCCCCACCAAGCCACGCCGACAGAACAGGAAGTAACCAATTTTACATTTCACCCCTGATGTGAAGTGTAACAGAGAATAATTTCTGGCTATCAAAACCTTTTTCAAAGATTTTTATTCCATTTTTTTCTCCATATACAACTGATGGTGGTAAACATTGATAATTCTTCCTTGTCCTATTTTCCCCATAACAACAAGCCTATGAGGTGAATTGGACTGAGAGAGTAACTTGCCCAAAGTCACCCAGCTGGTTTTCCTACCTAAGGCAGAACTAGAATTCAGTCTCCTGGTTTCTAGGGCAGCACCTTAAGTACTATATCAAACTGGCTCTCAAACTGATTGCTTTTTTCTAGCTTCCAAAGGGTTGTCGTGCATTTTGGCCTGTGATTTTAGAAACTGCATAACTGAAGTTTGATAGCTACAATTTGTTACCCATTTGCAAAGAATTATATCTTTATGGGAATTTCTCCATTTAAATTTGGAAGAAGTTGAGTTTTCCCGAATTACTTTAAGTTGTGATTGATCTAGTGCATGACATAGAACACATCTAACATAGTCAATTTTCTTTTTCTAATTTCCTTATTACAATAGGAAATCTCAGGAAATGGATAATTTGATTCTACAAATGATATTGAACTTGCAATAAATAAACAGCCACCTTCTGACAAAGTGATTCACTTTATCTCAAGGACACATGCACTGTCACTCGTTAACCCAGTCAAATGCAAAAGCTTCACTCTTTTCTGTGTTCATCCTGAAGATCAAACTACTGTATGTGCCATACTTAAAAAAAAAAAAAAAACGTTATCTAATATATTTATATTTAAATATTCTAGTTTCATTAACTCTTTGGAAGCCTTTTTTCTATCTCTCCTAGGAAGCAAAACTCCTCAGAAAAGAAACTTCTAGGGAAGGAAGAGCAAAATACATTTACAATTGAATCATCTGTACTATTTTAGAAATTTAATATGTGCAGGTGGTTATAGACGCAATGAGCCAATCTGTCAGGCCCAAGCCTAGAGACAGAATGAAATCCAATCAAGTGCAATCCTTTATTAGCTTACACCTAGTGGACAGAATCTTGCCATACTAAAGCTATAACTTTCTACCTATTGGATATATCCTGAGAGACTCTGGAGTGTGATTACCCTGAACTACTTCTTCCCTCCCCTATCCAACTCAGGACGGTGCAGTCTCTTAACGTCTATAACATTACCAGTCTTCTAGTATTTGATGGGTTGTCACATAGAAGAGGGGGTTGACCTACTCTCCAAAGCACCTGAGGGCAGGACAAGAAGTAATTGGGGGAAGATCACTAAAGAGAGATCCAACCTAGAACTCAGGAGAAATTTCCTGACAGTGGGAATAATTAATCACTGGAATGCCTTGCCTCTGGGAGTTGTGAGTTCTCTCTGAGAAAGTTTCATGTGGCTAAAAGTCCTCCCATCTTTTCCTCCTTCCATCACCTCATCTCTGCTCCTGAGCAATTTTGTTTTAATAAAAACAAAATTCAGGAAAATAAACACTGGCATGATATGCTTTCTGTTCTACCATCCAAATACTAGAGGACAAGGAAAGGCCTTCATCATTGGCCCAGATCAGGGATGTCAAACCCGCGGCCTGCAGGCTGGGTGTATCATGCGCTGGCCACCCCACCCCCATTTTAGCGAAGGGAGAAAAAGTCATGATACATCACGTGACGACGTGACGAGGTGAGTTTGACACCCCTGGCCTAGATCTTAGATGCTGCTATTTAAAAGGCCTTTCATTTCATCACAGCCAATTAAACACTGGAAGGAACAGGTTAATAGAGAGCAAGATTACACATAAAGCATAGATCAGTAGGCTGTTGAGGAAGAACCTCAAGCCCACATTTTGTTCCCCACCTTCCTCACATTTTACTACACCCTGGGAATAAGAAGGAATAACTGTAATTACATTTCTAGAAAAGTGGGAGAGGTCTTGAAATGACTTCCAAGGAGGAATTTGAGAATGTGAACATTCTCATATGAATATGAGAAATTAATGATTTGAGTACCAAATAATTTGTGCTGCCTTTAGTGATTAGCCATTCTTTAGCCATTCTGGAAAAATCAATATTACATCATGCTCAGAGCATTTCTTTTAACAGAATCAGGGATGTAGGCACAATGCTCTGTTAAAAGAAATGTTCTGTTTGAACATCTGAAGCATGGCATATTTTTTAAACAAAAAAAGTCCACCTGATAAAGAGGAACCATTATTTTATTCCCCTCCACTAGATATTTCACCCTTTTCTAACCATCCTTTTATTTTCTCCTTGTTTTACAGAAAAAAAATCATAGGCTAATTGGCTTTAGCTTTTCTAGAGCGGGAGTTGTAACAGTTGATTCATAAACATCCATAATTAAAGACAAACAAATAGTATATCCAATTTATTTGTAATGATCCTTGTCACATTTGTATATTTCAACAAAATTTGGTCTTGATAAAGCATCCCAGTTCCATTTGTCTTTTGCCTACTTTTACAGGAAAGGAAAGAACAAGCATTAAGGGCCCTGAAATTCCCAGGAATCAAAAGGGAGAAACAATAAAATAGAAACTGCAAACTGCAAATGATTTCTGCTTTTGGGATCACATTTGTCATTTCGATTTATCGGTGAGTCCAATGCTTAAATAGCAGATCTTTTCCCATTATTTATCTTCCTGGCTAAGCCACAAGATACTTTTTAAGTAGCTAAGTTAAGTACCACTTCAGACCTGTCTTCCACTTACATACTTGTAAAGCAAGAACTTTTTCTACTAGTAAAAGGAAAAGTTACCTTTTTAAAAACCATTCTAGAGAAAATGTTCGCATTGATGGAGATACGGAATAAGGAAGGCAACATTAATGCAGCAAAGTATTCAATTTAAGAAGCCTACAATTTTTTAAAAAAACTATGAACAAGCAAAGGATTATTTCATTTTAATAAAACTTGCATAATATTTGTTGGGAGGAATTGAAATGTGGAAATAAGAAGAGTATGATTATAAAATAAACGCCAAATAATCTGAATCTTATTTAAATAGGGCTAATAGTTTTAGAAAACTATTTACAACCCATTTTTGAAGTTATGACTGTCGGCTAGGGTCACATGATTGTATTTCAGGCACTTGGTAACTGGGTCATATTTACAACCAGTTGCAGCATCCCACAGTCACATGACCATGATTTCTGCAAAAAAAAAAGTCCTTTCAGAAGAATGGATTTGTTTAATGACCATGTGATTTGCTTTGTAACCGCAGTATCTAGCTTTATAACTATCGTAAATATAGTCATAAAATCAAGCTTGGTGGCATGGTGCCTTTACTTACTTGTGACTGAAATTCTGGGTTCCATTGTGGTTGTAAATTGTGGGCCAATAGTATCTTCTCTTTTAGGAATAAAAGCTGAGAACAATGTGTAATATCCATATCTGTTGTAGGGCATAACAACAACAACAACAACTTTACTCAGAACTGCCTACATACTCAGACGCTAACTTAAGTTCTTGGTTAGGACTTGAACTGTTAAGTTTTTATCAGTCCCAGACTGTGAATTGAATTGAAGAGTAAATCTTAAATAATAATAAAATAAAATAATAAAACAATAAAAGAAAACAAAACAAAATAATAGGAATAATGAACTACATCTGTGTATGAGAAAAAGACAAACAGAAAGTAGTTTGATCCTTGATTCTGGATCTTGACTGTGCAAGATCATCAGCCAACTCTGGGCTTTTCTAAATGCAGCAGTCAGATTTAGACCATCATGCTTTATCCCTTTGTAGTTGTTGTTAGTTGCGAAGTTGTGTCCGACCCATCACGACCCCATGGACAACGTTCCTCCAGGCCTTCCTGTTCTCTACCATCTTCTGGAGTCCATTTAAGCTCACGCCTATGCTTCAGTGACTCCATCCAGCCACCTCGTTCTCTGTCGTTCCCTTCTTCTTTTGCCTTCAATCTTTCCCAGCATATTAGGCTCTTCTCCAGTGAGTCCTTCCTTCTCAATAGGTGGCCAAAGTATTTAAGTATCCCTTTGTAAATTTATACTAATGAGAAAATTCCCTGTTGTAATTGACATATAAAATAACTTTATCGGAAGACTATCTGTATGCCTAGGATTAAACAGTGAGGAATGACAGTTTTGGGCCACAGATATCCACTGATTTTACTCATAATACTTCCTCACCCCTCCCCTAACATTCCACATATTTCTAATTTAGCCCAATGTCTTCAGACAAAGTGTAGACATTTGGAGAGTAAGCAACACCTCTTAGACATAAAACAGGATTCTGCTCCAGTAATAATATACAACACTTCATCTTTTGTGTAGCAGTCAGAGCTGATGTAATGGTTCCCTTTATATTTTTGAATATTTGAGCTAATTTATTTTATTTATTTATTAATTTTATTTCTATACCGCCCTTCTCCCGAAGGATTCAAGGCGGTGTACAGCCTAATTAAAAACACAAAGACAGACAAAATTTAAAAATAATTAAAATTATTAAATAATAGGCCCAATTTATAAAACCCCAAATTTAAAATCCCATTTAAAACCAATTAAAATCTTTACATTGATAGCCCAGCCTGGCGGAACAACATGGTTTTGAGGGCACAGCGAAATACACGGAGATCAGAGATTTTACGAATTTCTGTATAATACTTCATAATACTGTATGTCCATATGTATCTTGTGAATTATGATATTCCAAAAATAATCTATAATTTTTTTCCTGCCTCTCCTCAGAAATACAACATTGGCTGAAATGTATGCCTGAAATACAGCATGTAAATTCACTAAAGTTCTCTATCATAATATTTAAATAGCCTTTAGAGCATTTTTTAATTGTTCAAAGCTCTTCGTATACATTATCTCAAGAATTACATCATTAGTCAAATCTATTTCTAGCCAACCTGTTTTCCCTACATTGTTTGTTAGAAGGCTTGTATTTTCAGACTTTCTCCAGATCTTCAATTCCGTGCAGGAAAATGAGACATTTGACTTAACTGTCATTTGTTGATGGAAATACATTTTTTCCCTACTAATTAATGCAAAGGCTGTTTGGCAATGCATGAACTGTATGTACTGTTTCAAAATGTGCTTCCTTACTCTGCTTTGGGTTTCTACTGAGAAGGAAACATTGAAAGTAATCTGAGCTAGAATCCTGTGTACCAAGTCCCATCTATATAAGAATGTAATAGTGGCCAAGGCCTAGATTAATGGGGTCAAAAATAATCAAGTTATATAAATGATCGTACTGGGTCTGAAGAATTTCCAGCATTATGCATGCAGTACAACAGCTATTTTGCAAATTCAGGATCAAATAGGAGCCAGTTCATTCAAAAGGGCATGGTGGAGACTTTACATAAAGAATTTTGCATGCTTTCAACACCATCTGAAAGAAGCACCCGATCATAATTAGGATGTTTGATTTAGCACGAGTTTTGAAACAGACTAGAAGGCCAAGCAATGCATCAGAACAAAATGACAGAAAAGAATTAAGAATGAAAATACTTTTCACTTTAAAGTTAAGCAGCTCGGGGTATGCAATCCAGAGAAAAGACCCCTGAATGAATGGATAGTTCAATTTGTATTATTGCTCTTCTGAATATCCTGTCCCCAGGCTTGTCGATTTTGACCTGGCCCATAGCAGCAAATTCATCTGCGGTAAATATCGGGTAATAATGTTTCTCTCAGGGCTCTTAGAGCTAATTACAGCTTATCCTCCCAATGTTTCTGCAAAATAGGTTGGATCCTGGGAGACCACCCTGTAAGGACAGTACTGATCAGGGATTTGATCTCAGGTGTGAACTGCCTCATTCTATTCATCGTTGCTGCCTTGGTGCATGTCCATATTAGGGTTCTTGTGCCTTTAACAGCTGAATAATAGGGAGAAGCACAGCAGGTGAAAGTTTTAGTGGCAGGATGTGGGTTGCAGAGATAAGAAAAGATCCATCTGTTCCATTTCTTGTGTGCTATTTTGTGGCTAAAGGCAAAGGAGTCTAACTGGGTCTCTCCTGCCGGGCTTTGTTTGCTATTTCCAGGTGGGGATGTTAGGAGAGGAAAAATGCTAATGAGATGGGGCAGGGGGTAAGGGTGGGAGAACTAGAGACTATCTAATCACTTCCCACTTTCTGAGCTGGTTGCATTTCTAGTTCCCAGTCTCAAGTTCTATCCAGGGGTGGGATCCTACCAGTTTAACAATCGGTTTGCTGAGCACGCGCACCAGACGCACATTGAGCACGCGTGCACAATTTGCAGAAAATTAAACTGAGAGCAAGGAAAACAGCTGAGAAGCGGCAATCCACTCTGCCTCCTCAATCAGCTGGGCTTCGGAAGCAGAAATATAGGTAAGTATAACGCAAGGGCGGGTGGGCCCACTGAAAGAAAGAGAGAACCCGTTCACTCATGGCTGAAAATCGGACCTAATGGTTCACCTGAACCGGTCCGAACCAGTAGAATTTCATCACTGCTACTCAATCAGTTTAGAATTCAATAACCATAGCGAAATTCCCAAAGTGTTCGTTTCTAAAATACGTTGGTTGTTCAAAGAAACACAATGCTACCCAAAAGCCAAGGCTCTTTTCATACTATGGATTTTTTTCATAGTGTGGGTCTTCAAGATAGCCCTAATAAACGTGAAACAAGTAAACGTGTAAAAACACATTTTGGGGGGTAACTCCTACTTTCAGGGCTGCATGATCTTAGCTTTTCTGTTCTATAGGGAGCAATGCTCAGATAGTGGACAAAAACTTTCTCAAGCGTGTCTCTAGGGCTTTTTTTTTGGTGGGATGCCATTTTGAAGAAAAGCTATAAAATTAAATTCTTTTTTAACCTGGTCCATGTCAGACTGTGGAGTTATAACATTTGTATGTTTAGGGCACAGAAGACAGACTACCCATATTCCATTATCAAAACACAGTCGACTTCATGAGAGTATTAACTGTACTGTGTTTTTTACTCTTGCTTCGGAAACCCACCAAGTTGTAAATGAAATAATTTCCATACAACATAACTTATAAAGGCTTTGTGATCCTATTTATCAGAAGGAGTGTGGCATTTAAAAATCATAGTTCCTGCCTGATCTACCCTGACATTAACTCCTATTATTCTAAACAGCGCTTACTGTTTGTGGAGGGAGGAACTGAACAGGCTCCCTATCCATTCACCAACATTTTCATCAGAGCTATTGTATGTATTTTCTGACTGATACATATTTACATAATTCGCAGTGCTGTAAACGGTTCCTGTTACTACAATAACTGAGCAGGCAGAAGCTGAACAGGTCCACCATCCATCCGCCATCACTTCCTACACATGCATAAATAAAGAGCAATTCTTTAGAGCAGCTTGATAGCTTGCTCTTTTGCTGTTCCCATCGTGAGTGCGGCTAACATGAATTGATCTGCTGCAGAAATGAAAATGATGTTATGCAGAACATCCCACATCAAGCTTCATTAACATTTGATGATGAAGCTTGAACGTACAGATGAACTGCCACATGATTCAAGCACACGGTAGATTGTTTCTTGTCATCTGAACTCTGCTTTCCCCAGTGACAGAAAGCTTTTATGTTCTCATGCCAGAGCAAATGGTTTCCTCCTTTCCTCTCCCATTCATACATTATAAATGGGTAG